ACCCTAAACCCTAACCCTAAACCCTAACCCTAAACCCTAACCCTAACCCTAAACCCTAACCCTAAACCCTAACCCTAAACCCTAACCCTAACCCTTTTTCTTATTCAATTTGACATTAGAACCTATCGCTTTCCCTGACTCACTGTGTTTCTTCTTAAAACACTCCTGACATCAGAGGAGTGTTTCCACCCGCGCATGAGCCCTGTCTCTGGACCCCTTGCTCTGCCTTTGATCGCTGATGCTCGCACAGACCCCAGGGCTCACGTTCCCACTTCAGATGCCCACCTCAGGCCGTGGGTCCCCAGATAGCCACACTTCTGTCCCATTTCGTGACAAATCTGGGGTGTCATAACCTCATCCTCAGGTGTAGTAATTTGCTGATGACTCAGAGCCCAGGGAACACTCCAGTCACTGGTTTATTAGGAGGGATTTTGCAGAGGATATTGGTGAACAGCCAAATGAAGAGGTACAGAAGTGGGTTCCAGAAGGGCGCTCAGGCACGTCTGCCCCTAAGGAGTGTGGGGTGTGCACCCACCTGGCACACAGTATATCCCCAACTTGTCTAGAGTCACCCTTTAAGTGTCTTTTGGAGATGCCACTATGTAGGCACAGGCGATTAAGTCACCTGCCACGGGCTGGATTCAACCTCCAGCCCTCTGCCCTCCCTGGAGCAGGGAGTGAGCTGAAGTTACAACCCCCTACCTCAGGCACCAGCCCCATCCAGAAGCTCTCTAAGCCCATCAAAGACACCTCATTAGCATCCAAACAGACATTCTTCTAGGATTCCAAGATACTTAAAACTCTATCTCCAAACCCAAGGCTAAGACCTAGATTGGAAGAATAGTCTTCCTGCATCCTTATCAGGAAATTACAAGGGCTTTAGAAGTTCCTGTGTGAGAAGCCCCGGACAAAAGCCTCCAGAGATAAGGGCAACAGATTCCAAAGGGGAGTAATCAAACACCCCCAGAACAGGCCCAGGACTCCCCCCACCCCCACCAGGTAATAAATAGGGGCTGAGATGCAAGTTGTAATTCTGGGCACAGAGACAGTAAGATTGGGCGAGTGAGACACCCAGAGCTAACCAAAGACTTCAGAATATCTAGGGAGCCAGGGTGTATGTGCCCTGAGGCCTGACTGGCGGCCTCCTTGCTCCTCCCCAGCCTGGTCCAGGGACCTGGATTCCCACTTTGTTTCTGCTCCTTAGTAAATTTTCTTATTTCTAATTCCCCAAACAAATTTGCTTCTTTTGCTTGCCTGAGCGCCAGCGACGCTCCTGCTGTGGGTTCAGGAGACACCAGCCCAGGGGGGCTTTTGGCCTGAGACCCCACAGCCTGAGAGCAGCTCCTGGCTGGGAGACTAGACCAGTCCCTTGGGGGTGGGGGGGAGGCTGCCTTCTCCTGTTCATTCACTCTTTCTGGTGTTTGCTGCCTGAGCTTCTCCACTGCTGTCCCGAGCCCCACTCCCCACATTCCAGCAGCCAGGCCTCTGGGCCTCTCTGGTATGAACTCCCTGCCAGCACTCCCCTGCCCTGCCCTCCTCACTCCTGCCGCCCAGACAGTTGTTCTCTGCTGGCCTTTCGGAGGGAATCCTATCTTAACAGCGCAGCTGCTGACTCAGTTACATTTGCAAATGCAGTGAAGCCACAAGGTGCAGGGTGGGCAGAAGCTAGGATTCTGACCAGTCCCCAGCCCCCCACCTCCACCCCCACCGTAAACTCTGGGCACATACTGACTCCTGTCCAAAGAGCTCCCCCCACTTCCCTAGCCAGGCAGCTCACCTCACTCCTGCTGCCGCCTTGGCTGTTATCCTGACGGTAGGCGCGGGCATGCACGCTTGCACACGCGGCACGCCCATGGTCCAGGTGTCCATAATCAGGCACGCGTGCCCATGCTCCCAGGTGCCTTCTGCGTGGACGCTATTAGGGGAGTAGGCAATGGCCACAGAGTCCAGTGGTGCAAAAAGACTGACCTGACACCAAAGTGGAGTTTTTTTTTTAATCAAAAGACCTTTCAGGGAAGTAAAACTGAACATTTGAAGCCATTGACTCTATTGCCTTTATGTATATTCGTTGATTGGTGAATGAAATTAAGGTGAATACTTTGCCTTAGGAATTGCTAAGAGTGAACCTTGGTGGGGTGCCCCTCAGCAATCTGGGAGGTGTGGCTCAGGCAGGTATTTTTTTCTGGTTGACTTCCCTACAACACATGATGTTGGCACCTGCTGTGACTGGAGGGAAGGGCCAGCCTTGGTCCGCTTTGGAGTGGGTCCAAGCCTTAGCCCGCAATCTACAGGACGGATACCAGGCCTTACACAGGAGCTTCCGCAGCGACTTCCCTGGTCACCAGTTCGCGGAGGCTGACCTGACTCTAGGCGCAGGTGTGCACACTTGCACCTATAACTCAGGTGTCCATAATCCTGCACGCATGCCCCATGCCCCCTTCCTCCTAGACTGTAACCCCTGAAACATGGGCCTCATGGGAATGAGGAGAAGCCAGCCAGACTGATGAATCAACTGCCAGATGCAAGATCAGGCAACAAGTAATACTGCAATGAATCAATGAATCCGTGTTCCAATAAAACTTTATTTGGCTGGTCCTGATCAAGTTTAATAGATTTTTTTTTTTTAACATGAGAGTAATAACAATTCCTCTGCAGTAACAACTATACATGACCTCCTGGTCAAGGTCAGCAGCTTGCTCCTTCACCACGAAAGCAAAGCCGCCCTCTGAGGGCAATGGCACATGAGAGGGGCCAGCATTTCCTTCAGTTAAAAAAAATCCAAACGCTTTATATTTACATATTTTCCATTGAAAAATTGGTCAGTGGATTATATCTGGTTTTTAAATAAGTTTCTACTGTGTTGCAAGTTTCAATGTACAAATCCTAGTTAGCGGATTAGGTTTAAGGTGCTGTTAGGGGAGGATGAACACAGCCCAGGCCCAGCTGGCGAATCCCCTGCTTACACGGGGGACCGGCTTCCTAGGAGGACCTTTGGGTCCCGAACACCAGTGGTAGACATGGCAGAGGAGTTCAGGGCACTGGACTTTAGCTTCTGCAGAGGGGCTGCTGGGTCCCACGCCACCCCCCCCCCAGGCCGTGTGGGGGGCACCTCTGGATTTGCATGCTTCAAGTGCCTCCTGGCTTAACCTATGAGGGGTGTGTCTGTCCTGCCTCCCTTCCTCTGTTGTGGGGGCCCCATGCTGGTGTCTGATCCTTGAAGGCCGTGACTATTGGCTCCCCACTTTCAAGACCGTATACCTTTCTGAATTCTTGGTCCCTAGGTCACACTTGCAGGGTATTGCCTTAGGGCCCGCTCCTGGCCAGCGCTACACGGGTGGTCAGGAGCCAGGGCGGCACCAGTGGCGTGTGATGGGTCCCGGGGGAGATGCTCTCTCCTAACACGCTTGCTCTGTGGCCGTGGCACCCGTGCGGTGTGTTCCTGAGGTGGGCTTGGAGAGGAGCTGTGGGTGTGGGTGGGGCGGGCTGAAGGCATTCTCGGGGGTGCTGTCTTCACACGCTCCAGTGTACGACATCCCCTGGGGAACGCGGACTGTGTCTGCGTCAGTGGGGGCGTTAGGAAAGTGCATAGGACATTATTCCGGAGGAGCTGTTCTACCCAGGACCCCAAACGGGTCTGATCTGAAACCAAGACTTCAGACCAGGAATGAGTGAGGCAAATACAGGGCCTTGGCGGATGAGAACAATGAAGTACTTGAGAAGTCAGGGGTTGAGTAGGGGTAACAAGGCTCAATTTCCATTGTTCTGAACGGAAGGACACAGAATGGGTGAGAAGGTAGTGGGCCGGGAAGAAACGTTCTTGGACTAAGTGTTGTGCCAGAACCACCAGAGGAAGACTTTGGGTAGTGGCCAGACAGCGGCTGGGGGCGGGGAGGCTGAGTTCTAGGCTGGCCCACCCTGGTTAGGAGGCTTATTTGCATCTCTGGACCTCACTGACCCTCCTCATGCATCACTGGAGGCAGGGTGGGCCAGGGGGATTCAGCACTACGCCCGCAAGATTCCTGCACACCCAGACACCCCGAGTGGAGTGCAGACTAAGACGTTTCTTCCCTGGGCACCACCAATCACCGCCTCCTCTTCCTGGGAAAGTGACCGACCCCAGACTAGGCTCCTGTTCAGACTCTCCCAGAGGTTAAAGGCTAGTAATTAAGGCAGTTTACGAAATGGACATTCCTCTCGCTCCTCGGATCCTTCCTGTGTTCTGCTAGCGCCAGGCAGCAGAGAAGGGCGGGAGGGGTGGTGGAGGTGCAAGGACACCCGGCCCCTCCTGTCAGGCCAGGTTTCTCGCGGGTGACCGTCCTCACGACACCCCTCCACCTTCACCACCTTTCTTTGGAAAAGGCCTCAGTCTGCACGAGTTCGCCAGGATGCTCAGTGATGCAGGCGCCATTGAGGTCGCCCAGTTTGCTGTCGGGCAGGTCTTCGGGCTTGGTGCAGAGCTTTAGCGCGCGGGAGATGAACACGTCCAGGTCGAACTGGGGGCTGGAGCCCCCTTCGATGTGGGCCAGGCGGCCTGGCGGAGAGGCAG